GGGTAGGCAGAGTGCCTGGCAAGTGGGAGGCCCTGAGTTCAAATCCCATACCACCACCAAAAAAAAAAAAAGGATGTGGAGATCAGGAGGATCTCAGTTTGAGGACAATCTGGGCAAGAAGAAGTTCAGAAGACCCCAACTCAACCAATAAAAGCTGGGTGCAGTTGTGCACATCTGTCATTTCAGCTACATGGGAAGCAGAAAAAGGAAGATCAGGGTCCAGGCCAGCCTGGGCATAACATTGGGACTCTACCCCAAAAATAAGTAAAGCAAAAAGGGCAGGGGCATAGCTCAAGTGGTGGAGTACCTGCCTGGCAAGTGTGAGGCCCTGAGATAAAACCCCAGTGCCACTTTAATAACCGGTGCAAAACACAGAAAACAAAACAAATAACTTGCAAAAAGGTTGCTGAGATTTCCAAATAGAATCACATTCTGAGGGGACTGGAACTTGTTTCAACATAGAAACTCATGTCTCTATTTCCTATCCCTATGGATTTACCTCTTCCAAATGTGTGACACAGACCAGAGAGAGTGACTGAGGCAGGGTGTGGCCTTGGAGGTGACAACAATGACAAAAGTAATAGGATAAAGGGGGCAGCAATATTGATGGGGGGGTGAGCAACTAAAGTGACCTAAGGGACAATGAAGGTGACAATGGGGATGGAGTCGGCATAAGGAGCTGGGCCACAGGTTCCAGACTGAGCAGTGCCCACCCCACAAGCTTGCTTCCTGAACCAGGGTGGGCAAGCAGAGGCTCCAGACACCTGTGGTGACAGCCAAGCTCTGCCTAACCTGTACATGGCCTAACCAAGACCTCACACCACCACCATGGTGAGGGACCACTCTACACTTGATCCCTGCCCATGCAGGGAATGCTGGGGCTCTGAGACCAAGCAGCCATGTGTACCTTGGGACTGTGGGTTTCCATCCAGTCTTACAAGGGCAAGGAACAGCTGGGCACAGTGGTCCAGAGTACACTGAGTGGATTATTAGGTTCAAACCCCAGTTTAGTGGTGTGGTGGTGCATGCCTGTAATCCAGCACTTTGACAGAAGCAGGAAGATTGAGAGTTGAGGTCGGGGTTGGTGGAGTGAATCAAGTGGTAGGACTGCCTTCCTAGCAAGTGTGAGGCCCTGAGTTCAAGTCCCAGTACCGAGAGAGAGAGAGAGAGAGAGAGAGAGAGAGAGAGAGAGAGAGAGAAAGAGAGGTCAGCCTGGGCTATATAGTGAATAGAAGTTCCCTACCTCAAAAAAAAAAAAAAATCCAGCTCAGACACTGTGACCTTGAGTTCATACACCTTAATTTTTATCCCTATAAATTGAGCACAGCCAGTGGGAACAATACACAGGCCTAGCGACTGAAGAATGAACAGTAAGATTTGGTTAATGAGATGTGGTTAAGTCACACAACGGGGTACAGCTCAGCCACAAAATGAAAAAAGCCCACACAGCTACAGCTCAAATGAACCTGGAAACCCTTGAGCTCAGGAAAAGGAGGCAGCCACAAAAGATCACATAGCTACAATGCCAATTATATGAAATCTCCACAACAGACAAATCCATAGGGACAGAAAGTGACTGGTTTACTGGGAGCTGGGGGAGAGGGGCTGAGGAACTACTGCTAATGGGGACAAGGTTTCCTTTTGGGGAGACGAGAATCTCTTAGAACCAGATACCGTGGTGGTTGCACAACACCACGAATGAACTAAATGTCACTGAATTGTACACTTTAAGATGGTTAATGGTTAATTTTATGTGAAATTTTCCTCAACAACAAAAAGCGGTGGGGGTGAGGACTGCTGTCAAGGACACACACATAACCCTCCACATACTCCCCATCTTTCCACACCAAACCCCAGCACTTCTTCTAGGCCACCTTGAGCTACCTAGGATTTACCAAGTGCTCGCCCACCAAGTGCTGGGACCTGTGACCATGTAGACCAGGTCCCACTCCTTGTGGGATCCCCAAACCACCTTGAAGGTCCAGACCACAGACAGGGGATGAAAAGGCACGATGAGCTGCCCAGGGGCTGTAGGGCTGAGCACCACAGACAAGGGGCTGGAGGACACAAAGTGGATATAAGCACTGTTGTGCCTCCTCAATGTGGAAGAGGGAGGCCTGTGGAGCTGAGTGGAGCTCATCCCCAGCCTTGCCCACAGGCTGGGTCTCAGGCAGGGAGCAGAACCCCTGCAGGTCCAGGTTCTCAGCTCAAAAAGATCTGGGCCCCACTGTCCTCTTATGACACGCTAAAATTAGGGAAAGTTCGGAACTCATATAAAAATATTGCATTCCAGATTGACCATGCCCTGGTTCAGGGACCACCCTTACCTGGCCAGGAACCGCCCATGCTCCCCCCTCATTGATTATTGGATGGGAATCACTTGGTTCTTCCCTGCCCATAGATAAGCCTAAGTCTTAAAAGCACCTGGAGAAGAAAAGCACACTCTCTGCCTCCAGATTCCACCTGGGCCCCACCGTGCCCCTTTTGTATTTCCCCTCTCTAACTTTTAACAAACTCCATTTTACACCCACGTGTCCTGCCATGGATTCTTCCCTGAGGGACACAGAGAAGAGAATATGGGAGGCTTCTCATCATGGACTGCACCCCGCTGCCAACACTTCCACCCCCATTCCCTTTTAAACCTGTCCTTCACTCACTGGACTGGTTCTTAGGGACGGGCACAAAGCATGTCCTGCTGGAGGGAGCAGGGCTGAAATCCCAGGGTGCTCACAGTGAAGACACTAGTGCAACCCACATCCAGAGATGACAAGGCGAAGCCAGATGTCAGGGTTGGCAAACTGCCCCGTTCCCAGTTCATTCGCTGTGCCCTCTGACCCATTTGTGGCAGCTTGTTTGGCAGGAGGGTCACACCTTTATGTGATACACACAGAGGTTCTGAGCTCCAATTTCTAGAGGAAGGAGTGCAGCCAGTCTGCTTGGGAGGCCATGTGTCACCATGTCAAGAAGAGACATGGTGACTTACAGTCAGCCCCATTAATGGCAGCAGTCGCCATCATCTGGAAACAAAATAACTACCAGTGAGCTGTGGAGCCACCCTGAGACAGAGCCATGGCGGGTGTCTGTAGCCACCAGTCTTGGGGTGGTTTGCTCCAGTGAGAACCAAGAACCCAAACAATGCCCTGGAAACTCCAGATCCCAGATGTCTGCTTAGGTGGCATGTGGCTTCATGGCCCGGCATGCATATGCGCCACACCTTTCTCCCTTAACTTGCCTCCAAGTCTTTGCTGCCTCCAGGAAGCCCTCCTGAAGTACGCACCCCTCTCTCCACTTGGCATCTCACCATCAGTGGCCACCTTGACGCGCACCAGATATCAGGGCTCCAATATCCCATATGGGATCCCAGGTGTCCCCCACGGCTGAGCTGACCAAGGCCAGCAAGCAGCAGTCTCATGTCCACCTCCAAGAATGCCAGGGAGCCCCTCTCCTCTGCAAGGGGACTCTCCAGGGTCCCCAACACCCCATTCAGCAATTTAGAAACAGGGTCAGAGGAGAGCTTTGCCCTGTCTCCCAGAAATCAAGTGTTTTTTTTTTTTTTTTTGTAGTTCTGGGGTTTGAACTCAAGGCCTGCCACTTTCTACCACTTAAGTCACACTCCCAGACCTTTTACTTTTAGTTTTTCAGAGAGGGTCTCTTGCTAACTTTTCCTGGATTGTCCTAGCCTCGAACCATGATTTTCCTACCTCTGCCTCCCACCTAACTGGGATTACAGATATGAGCTACCACACCCAGCTATCTTGTTTTTGAGATAGGGTGTCACTACACCCAACCTATTGTTTTATTTTCTGTATTGTTCACGCTCAGGCATCTGAGACCTCACTGACCATAGGGATGGGATGGCCTCTCCCAGGGCTAGCTCAATCTGAAACAGTAAACAACCTGCCTGCCCTACCCGAAGGCACATGCCCTTTCACTTGCAAACCAACCACCCAACCCCCTCTTCTATTGGACTCTTACACTCTAGGACACACTCCACTTGGCCTATCCTAGGACCAGGTACCAGACAATGCACAACAGCCCCTCTGCCTGGAGTCCACTAAAATGATCCAAACTAGCCAATCCTGAGCCTGCCTCACCCACCCCTTCCTGCAGAAACCACCATAAAGGCTTTGCCCTTGGTTTCTGACTTTTTTTTTGGCAGTAGTGGGAATTGAACTCAGGGCCTCTGTTTGCTAGATAAGCCATGACCCTAGTTCCCTCTGCCTACTGACCAAACCCCACCTCTCACCACCACCCCCAAGCCCCTTTCTCGTGTAGCCCCATGTGGTATGATGTGGCGTGAACACCTCAGTAGGGAATCTGTGAGTAATAATATCTTTTTTTTTTTTTTGGTGGTGGTATTGGGGTTTAAACTCACGCCTTGCACTTGCCAGGCAGGCACATGCTACCACTTGAGCCATACCCTCAACCCTTTTTGCTTTAATTGTCTTTCAGAGAGGGTCTCACGTTTTGTGATCCTCCTACGTATATCTCCCAAGTAGCTGTGATTACGGATACCTCCCAGCTCCACCTCTTCAGTAGCTGGGATTACAAACATGAACCACCTCACCTGGCAAAAAGTGTCTTTTCAATGGTGGTCTTTCTTGATCTTTTGGCTTCACCAATAAAATCTACATTTTAAAATACAGTGGGGTTGACAGTATGGTTCAAGGGACAGAGTGCCTGCTTAGCAAGGACAAGGCTCTGAGTTCAAACCCCAGTGCCACAAAAAAAAAAAAAAAAATTGCACTAAAATAGGGTAGAGCCAAAACCAACAGTTTGTCCAGCGTCCATCTCACAGAGGAGGAAGCCACGATGGATGGGGGTGCCCAACTCACAAACGGGGGAGGCACTGCCTGAGTTTAGCTCATCCTCCATGAAGTCCTCCATTAATGCAGACCACCTCACCACCCCACCTGCTTTCCCTGCTCCCAGGAAGCAAGGAGTGGTGTGGCTCAGAGTGCCCAGGACAGGATCCTTGAGTCCACGTGCCTGTGCCTGGGCATCCATCTGGAGGAGGTGTACAGCAGAGAGCCCAGGCTGCACAGGCCCAGGAGACAGAGGCCCACAGTCAGGCAGAACATGTGAAAGAACTTTAATTGGCACCGTCTATGGGATGGCAGGAGTGTCTGAACACAGGGCTGTCTCACCCTTTGGGAGTGGCCTGGGGCTAAGTCCCTCAGTTCTGGCTGTGGCACAGTTCTTCATCCACGCTCCCCAAGTCAAAGGGGAGTGTCTGAAGATCCCCAGCCTCTGGCCACATCTTCAGGAGCCTGGATTCGAGGTGGCCAGAAGAGTCCAGGTCTCTGAGGGCTGGGATGCCAGCAGCGGCCTGCATGTCCCCACCACAGCTCTCCCTGAGGCTGGATCCGCTCAGGGCCGCAGTGAGAGCTCGTCCTCAGAGCTGCGAGGTCTTCCTTTCTGACAGCAGCAGGGACTCCTTCACAGCCACCAACAGCCCCAGAGGGGGCAAGTACCCTTGGGTTCGGAGCCGAAACAATATAAGGAAGGTAGCAGCAACCAGAATGGCACTCACCACCCCTGTGGGGGACAGATAGACAGACAGAGGAGTGAGGGGGAGGGAGGCAGAGCTGCCACACCCAATATGTTATGGATGGGTGATCTGTTTCCTGTCCCCTCCCTGGCCCTAAAGCAGTCACTCCAAGCTCGTGGCATGGAAAGGCTGTCTTGTCTTACCAGCAGCTGCAATAACCCCATAGGCACTTGGGTTTCCAGACTGGTCCCCGACAAAAGAAGCTGTGGCATTCCTGAGAGAGGTGACACTCTCCAGGGCCACAGAGGTCCCCATGGTCGTGGCATTCTCTCCCTGGAAGGTCTCATTGGTTTCTGCAATAAGGCCAGGCATTCAGTAGTTAAAGGGGGGTATCTAGGGTGTGGGGGGATGCACAGGGGTTCCAGTAACCAGTGAAGCCCTGGGGGCTCATCTTAATCCAGGACAGGGTGGAGGTGGTGGGATTCACCAGTCCTAATTATCTCACCACCCCTACGGGGATGCATGCAGGAGAGGATAAAAGTGTCCATGCCCTGTCTAGCCACACATCCCACTGGCAGGAATCAGATGTCCTTCAGTAACCACCAGCCCCTGCACCCAAACAGATACACACCACAGCCAAGCTCATCACTGGAGTCGGCACAGTCCGGGTGGCCATCACAGCGCCATGTGTGTGGGATGCAGACATTGCTCAGCATGCAAGGCAGCTGGCCTGCTGGGCAGGGCCGGCGGCTGCAGTTGTGAAGGTTCTTGTCCATGCCACCAGGACAACTGCTGATGTTATCACACAAGCAAGGGAGGGCAGGGCGTGGTGGGCACTGGCTGTTCTGGGTACATGGCTCAATTCCTGGGGCAACAGGGTCAGTCAGGTCCCAAACACCCACCCAAAATACTTCCTCTACCCTGTAAATCCTGCCTTCTAAAGACAGCTGACCCTATTAACAGCTATCCTGCATAACTGTTCTACCCCTTGCTCCTATTAGCTCCACCTTCAAAGAGCCATCCTTCTTACAGGTTCCTCCTCCAACCTCACTTCCCTGTAAGCCCACCTTACACCCCAGCTCTTCTTAAGTCTCACAGACTCTGCCTTACCTTGCTTTGCAAGCCCCACCCAACCCTCTGGTTCTGCCCTTTCCACAAGCCCCACCCACCTTGTACCAGGCCCCAGGACCATAGACTTCTATTCTCAGGCCCCACCCCAGAAGGACCCATACCAGGGCATGGCTACTTACTGCACTCATCCTCATCACTGCCATCCCTGCAGTCCAGGTCACCATCACAGCGCCAGGTGAGGGGCACACACAAGCCACTGGTACGGCACTGGAATTTGGTGGGCTGGCAGGAGCCAGTGCTGGGGCCTATGAAATGTGCACAAGTGAAGTGTGGGAGTCCCGAATCTGGATCCTTCTCTAAGAGGACTGTGGGCATAGACTGCAACCACCAGGGTACAAGCCAGGTCCAGGGATGCTGGAACTACATTGGTGGCTGTCCTTTGCTGAGCCCTGTATGTGGAGTTTAGAGGCCAGAAGTTCATGGCTTCAGAAGGACCCCTACTGAGCAGGTTCTGCTACAATCCTTGGTCTGCAGAAGACACCAGAGGAGTGAGCCACAAAGCGAGTGGCAAAGTTGGGGTTAGAACTCAGGTGTCACTAACCCTACAGACTTTACCAGGTTCCAAATAGCCAGATGGCTACTCTGGAGACCTTCAAGTTCTGTGGTTAAACAGACTGGTGCAGAGCCAGGCCTGGAGGTACATACCTGTAATCCCAGCTACTTTAGGAGGTGGAGATCGGAAGAATCTGATTTGAAGTCAGCTTGGGCAAAAAGTTAGTGAGACTTCTCAAACAATAAGTTGGGCATGGTGGTGTGAGCCTGGAATTGCAGCTTCAATGGAGGCATAGATAGGATGATTAAGGTCCAGGCCAGCCTGGGCAAAAGCCTAAGACCCTATCCAGAAAAATACAAAGCAAAAAAGCTGGGGACATGGCTCAAGTGGTAAAGTGCCCTGCCATGCAGTCTTGAAGTCCTGAGTTCAAACCCCAGTACCAAAAAAAAAAAAAGAAAAGATGTGGGGAGGGGCCATCCACCAGGCTACCTGGGACAGGCTCATGGTTAATGTCAATGGGACTTGTTCCACCCTACCTGCTTAGCAAGGGGAAACTGAGGCCTGGGTAGAGAACCTGCTCAGTCACCAAGCCCTGTTGCCTCAGCTCCTAAACTCTTCCTAGATCTGACTACTCTCCATGACCTCAATGTGTCACCTCCTCACGGAAACCCCAGGATCTGATTTAGGACAGGACACCAGAGACTCTGTAAGTCACATCATTCTGTACCCCCTTCCCTAGCTCCCAGGTCCTCCCACATTCTTCCTCTTTATTAAGCTCCTCAATCCTGGCCTTCTTGTGGCTCATCTAAAGGACTTAACTGACTTTTACCATATGGCCTTTGCTTGTACCTTCCCTGGCCCAGAAGGCCCACCCCTCTCCCACTCTGCACCTGGGATTTCTTCCGCTGCCTTCAGATTTCCACTGAATTTCTGGTAAGTGTCTCAGAGACCTAGGAGGCTCTGCCTCCTACATACAACAACAGTGGTAACTCTGGAAGAGGCCTCCATTTTAAGGAAACATGGCAGACAAAGAAATACAAAGGAACAGATGGGGTGTGTGGCTGGATTGGGTCTGCTGAGGGGCTCAGATGGAACACAGAAGTAAAAGTCAAGCTTGCAGAGATATTCCCATGTGCAGAAAATTCAAACCATTATCCAAGGAAGACACACCAATCAGTAAGGGCCACGAAAAGGGAAACAGACAATCAAAAGTGGCCTAACCTGAAAAAGAAATCATGTCGTTTGAAGATAAATGGATGCAAGTGAAGGACATCATGTTAAGTGAAGTAAGTCAGGCTCAGAAAGATAAAAGCCACATGTTTTCTCTCATACGTGGAATACAGATACAATACAAATACAAGCAATATTATGAAAAACAGGTCACGGTAAGGAGAGGTCACTAATGGGAGAGGGAGAATAAAGGAAAGAAGTTAAGATGAATGTGATTTATGTACTTTTTTTTTTTCTTTTGCAGTACTGGGGCTTGAACTCAGGGCCTATACCTTGAGCCACTCCCCCAACCCTTTTTTTATAAAGGGTTTTTTTGACACAGGGTCTCATGAGCTATTTGCCTGGGCTGGCTTCAAACGGAGATCCTCCTAAGCAGCTAAGATTACAGGCGTGAGCCACTGGCACCCGGCTTGATGTACTTTCTGTACAAGAATGAATACAGAATTTTTTTTTCTTACAGTACTGAGGCTTGAACTCAGGGCCTTCACCTTAAGCCCCTCCACCAGCCCTATTTTTGTGATGGGTTTTTTCAAGATAGGGTCTCATATTCAGCAAATATGCCCAGGCTGGCTTCGAACTGCGATTTTCCTGATCTCTGCCTCCTGAGTAGCTATGAGTACAGATGTGAGCTACTGGCGCCCAGCTGAATATAGAAGTTTTAAAACTGTTAAAATCACGGTAAGAAGGGGACTAAGATAGAAAGGAGAAAGAGGAGATGAACCAATTTGGGTTCTAATAACTATATACAATGTCACACTAATAACTATATAAATGTCACAATGAAACTCCCTGTATAGCTATTTTAAACAAACAAAAACGTCTTTTATCAGAAACAGAGGACCGGAAGGTAAAACAGGTCCTGTTTGGGGGTTGATACCACTGGGAGGGAGGAGGATATAAGGAAGGGTGCAGAAGGGAGAATGTGGCAGAAATACTATGTACTCATGTATGAAAATGGAAAAATGAGACCTGCTGAAGCTACTCCAGGAATGAGGGGAGGGGGAGATAAAGGGGAATGATGGAGGGGGTGAATTCAACTATGATATATTGAAAGAACTTCTGTAAATGTCACAATGTACCCCTAGTACATTGACACACATATGAAAATATGCATTAATGTATAATACATGTATAGTATGTAATATGTAATATGTATACATGTGATAGTACATGTAATATTTTTATAACAATAAAAAAAAAGTGGCCTAAGGTATAAAACCTATCCTCAACCCTACCTCACTGAGCTATGAGCCTCTGCACAGCTACCCACCATTCTATCCTGTCAATGGTGTCCTAATAAATCTTTGCTTTCTCCTGTTCTCTGTCTTGGTAAATTATTTTACCAATGAAAGGCTCCCAAATCCATGACATAAACTGGTGTCTTGTACAGTAATTAATATGGGGAGTCCCTGTACACCAAATAGGAATTCAAAGAACTCCTTCTTTCTCACATCAGGACCTTTGGTAATATTGCGCTGGGGCTTGGGGACAGTATGGGTCTTTGGCCAGCCAACTCCCTGGTGAGATCCAAAGGTCTCTTCTTGGGTGTCTGGAACCCACTGCCCATAGAGGTGAAGAACCTGAGACTAGACTTTTCAGAGGAACAAGTGTCTTCCCCTGAAATTTTCAGGACCCTGGCCAGGACAATCCTCTGGTGAAACTAAAAATATTGGGAAAAAGGGGCCTTTCCACCTACAGCCCACGAGGGTGAAGAGCTTAAGAGCCTGTCTGTCCTCTCCATTTTTAAGTCTCCACTTTCAAAACATGGTGCAACTAGCAATGAAAGCTCTCCATGCCAACCCATGTATGCTGTAGGGAACCCTACCTCTCTCCTCACACTTACTTCAAATCTTATTGACTCCTCGGATGACGTAATTTCTGCCCTGCAGAAGGATTATTTCTGCCCTGTCTTGTGGAAGGAGTTTTGCTACCAGCGGTGAGTCCCCCCCTTTCCCTTTGTCCCTCTCCTTCTCTGTCAGGACAGCACACCCTGACTTGATGTTTGAGAATCCTGTCAACCCTGAGAACAGCACTCTGGGGTGGAGGGGTCCTCTCATCCTGGAGAGTCACACCCAAAATTAGGGGTCCCTCTGACTTAGCAGTATGCCCAACAGAGCAAGCATCCTATTTTGTCCCCATAAGGTCAGTAGGCCCCTCTCTCCCAGTGGGATGCCTCCAGGAGACTTAGATCCCCCTTCCCATGACATGCATCCAGCTGCTGATCCCCTCAGACTCATGCCTGGGCTATATTCTCTGCCACTGTGCTAAATTTGATCCTCAAACACTTAGAAAGAAATGCTTAATCCTTCCCCATAATGTGGCATGGCCAGCTCACAAACTGCTAGATTGAGAAGTCTGGCCTTAAAATGGCACTCTTTTGGAGACACTGGAGTTTGAACTTAGGGCCTCACTTACTAGTCCGGCCTCTAACTGCTTGAGCCACTCCACCAACACTTTTTTTTTTTCTTTTTTGTGACGGGTTTTTTCAACATAGGGTCTAGTGAACTATTTGCCCAGGGGTGGCTTCAATCCCCAATCCTCCTGATCTCTGCCTCCTGAGCAGCTAGGATCTACAGCTTCAAAACAGCACTTTTAATCACAGCACCATTTTCCAACTTGATCTCTTCTGCTATAACTCTTTTAAACAGTCCGAGGTTCCTTATGTTCAGAACTTCATGTCCCTCTCAGGGTTGGAAATTCTGGGGTGAACATAAGTCCAATGAATCCTGTCCTGACTCTGTATCCTGAGAAATTAAATCTCCCTCTTTGTCTTCATTCCTCTGAAAATCTCCCAAACTGACTTTGATGTTCTACCCTCTGCCCTTTTATTCTCTTCAGATTTTCTTTCCTCTTTGCACTGCTGGTTAAAGTCTAGACAGATTCAGGAGTCTTCCATTTGTCTTACCGCTTCTCAGGCTATCAGGAATTAGAATAAGCCTCCCTAGATTGGGAAAGCCCCTTAAATTGATTCCACCACCTTTGGCCTCTGGAGGCCCAAACAAACAAGCAAAAAATTCCTGCCAGTGCCAGTGGCTCATCATTCAACCCACCAAGCTTCTCAACTTAGAGAAGAAGCCACCTAAGGATGGCTGTCAGGGGAAATACCTGGTCCAGGGAAATAGTTCGTGAGACCCTATCTTGAAAAAACTCATCACAAAAAAGGGCTGGGGCTGGTGGAGTGGCTCAAGATGTAGGGCCTGAGTTCAAGCCCCAGTCTGAAAAAAAAAAAAAAAAAAAGTGGGCTAGCTGGAGGTATAAAACTTATTCTCCCAGGTGGCTCACACCTGTAATCCCAGGTACTCACAAGGCAGAAGTCAGGAGGATCGTGGTTTGAAGCCAGATCGAGCAAATAGTTGGGGAGATCCTATCTCAAAAAACCTATCACCAAAAAAGGACTGGTGGAGTGGCTCAAGGTGTAGGCCCTGAGTTCAAACTCCAGTACTGGAAAAAAAACCAAACAAACAAAAACCCCTTTCTTCAACCCTATCCTGGTGCACTATGCTCCTTTGCAGAGCTGGCCCACCATTCTATTCCTTTCAATAGTGTCCTAATAAATCTTTGCATTCTCCTACTCTCTGTCTCAATAAGTTCTCTAACCTGTGACTCCCAAATCCACAACAGTAACATCTGCCCTCCCATTGACTGAACAGTCAGTGGAAGTCAAGGCTGTGACCCTCCAGCCAATCCCAGGACAGTGTCTGACAAAACGTAGAACAGATCAAATGAGGGTCCAAGCTGAATCCAGATGAAGCATGAGCCTTCCTGAACTCTGAACAGGCAAGAGGGGGCTGTTTGCTGATCTGCAGGGAGAGGAACAGGGGTAGGGTGGGGGCCAGGAACCTGGGCCAGCAGGAGGAAGTCTGAGGGGACAAAGACAGAAGGTGGCCTTAAGGGCTTCCTTCCTCCTGGGTGTAGCAAGGACAGAAGCAAATTCCTCAGCCTGGTGCCAGGTCTCATTTTGCTTCCCACCTTCTCTCACATGGCCTGAGCTACCAATCTCCCTTCCCACAAGACAGCCCTTTCCCAGGCCTAACTGTAACTGCAGTCCCTGAGCTTCATGAGGTGCGGAAGAGCTGGGGACAACCTGGAGCCAGCTTCCCTCCCTGTCCGCAGGGAGTCTGGCAGCTTCCAGGTGAGGTTTCCTTTCCATAGCAACCCAGATCCCTGATGCATCTGATCTCCCCTCCCTGGTCTTCTGGAGTATGTATCCCTCTAGGGGAGCAGACTCCGCATCATGGGGCAGTGGGTTAGAAAGGAGATGAGTGGCCAGCAACTTCTCCCAGCCTGTTTCTTCATCTGTAAAAGGGACACATTAGAAACCCATGAAACTCTGCCTACCACATGTAATGGGCCTTAAACCAGTGAGGAAGGGCTGGCAGAATGGCTTAAGTGGTAGAGCGCCTGCCTAGCAAGCCCAGTAAGTGTGAGGCCCCGAGTTCAAACCCCAGTACTGCCACAAAAAACCCAAAACAAAACAATAAGGAAGCTCGGTGTGGTGGTGCGCACCTATAATCTCAACACTTTCGATGCTGAAGCAGGAGAATCAAGAGTTTGAAGCCAGCCTGGACAACATAGTGAAACCTGTCTCAAAAAAAAAACAAACAAAAAACAGTAAGGCCTGAGTGGGGCAAAGTGTACACTCAGTGGAGGTCAGGGATGTGACCTCATGCCTCTGACCAGGGCAGTGCCTGACAACCACGGACAACAGGTCACACCAGAGAGTTCCTAGCTTGCGTTCCTATCTTAGCATCCCCTAAAAGGAGCAGCTTGTTGTGTAAAGAATTCCGTGCTTGGTTAAAATGAATGCAACATCACTAAGAGAACCAGGCACGTGGCTGGGCATGGCAGTTCAAGACTATAATCCTAGTTACTTGGGAGGCAAAGTTTAGGATTGCAGTTTGAGGTCAAACAGGGCGAAAAGTTCACCAGACCCCCATGTCAATCAACCACTGGATGCAGGGAAACATAAATAGGAGATCGCTGTGCAGGCAGGCCCTTACTGGGCATAAAAGAAGACCCTATCTCAAAAATAACCAATGCAAAAAGAGCTGGGAGGTGGTTTAAGTGGTAGGTAGAGCACCTGCCTAGCAAGCCAGGGCCCTGAATTCAAACCCAGTACCAACCGCCAGAAACAAAACAAAACAAAACCAAAAACCCCAAAATGAACCAGAAATAAAAATAGAAAAACTAATAACAGCTGAAAGTCAGAGGTTCCTATACGCTTAGAAAGGTCACTCCAACCTTCCCAGGTATCTCTGGACCGTCACAACCACTTGGGCCAGGAAACCGTGTCCACTGCGGTTAATTTTACCTGAGAAGTTGGGGTCACAGGTGAAATACACTCCCAACCTGGAGTGTATTTCTCTCTAAGGTGGAGAAACTGGAAGCATGGAGCTGGTGACTGAAGATACAGCCCCAAGGCCTCAAGCTCGGGGGCGAGGGGTTTTGGGGGGGGCACACCTCCTGCAGGATGTGCCACGTGACCCGTTCAGTGTGGTTAGAGGTCGGACAACCGGTGCCTGCTACGAGCCTTCCCGACCACGCTGAGCTGAAGGGGGCTCGGAGGTGGCGATGGACACATGACAAAGCAAAGGAGGCGGGGGGCAGGACCTTTAAGGACAGGCAGAGGGTCCCCCATTCAAGGCTCGCGGGCTCCCGGCACGCGAGTCCAAAACCACGTGCTGGGGGAGTGTCTCGGACCGGCCAGCGGCGCAGCCAATGGCGCGGCGCTGCGGGCGCGCGGGAGCCGGGCGAAGCCGCTGGAGGGGTTGGGGCGCGCGATTCTGTGGCTCACTCACCTGGGGCTGGGAGTGAGGTCCTGTTATGGGTCGGGGCGGCCTCTAGGCCTAGTCCGAGAGTGAACAGCAGCCGCAGCGCCAGGCCCAGGGCCGCTGCCCGCCGTGCTCCGCCCCGCGCCATCCAGCCGCTAGTCACACCACCCAAACCTCGGCGCCCGTCGCACGCCGTCCAAGCCTCGCGTTTGTTTCTGCGCATGCGCGTGCGCCTGCAGGAGAGGGGTGAGGGGGCGGGGCCTGAACCCCTCGCTCCCGCTGGGCGCCCAGGGCTACGCGTACCGTAAATGCCAGAATACAAGAGAACCCAAACCTTGCAGCCTTCCCCTGCTTTTCCCAGTGGCGAAGTCTGTTGAAAGGAAACGGAGCCAACGTGAAGTTCAGAAACTTCTGGGGATGTAAATGAACTCAGTGTCCACACTTCGCGTTCCACAAGTATACTTGCCGCAGAGGTTACTGCCTAATGAGTGTATCTGATATGACCGCCACACCCTTCATGCACACTCCCTGTCCCTTCTTCTGCCCCCTTTGGTGCCACCGCCAGGTTTTATATTTTGTTTACTTATTTTGGTTAATTGCGTGATTCCCTACTAGAATACCAGCTCTAGGAGGGTGTGGATGCCGTGTTCCTCATTGCTCTGCCCTCTATACACCTCTCTCTCTCCTCTCGCCCTTTCTCCCTTGCTTCCTCTCCCTCTCTCTGGTGGGACTAGAGTTTGAACTCAGGGTTTGACACTTACAAAGCAGGCACTCTACCGCTTGAGCCACACTCCAGTCCATTTTGCTCTGGTTATTTTGGAAATGGGATCTCGAGAACTATTTGCCCTAGCTGGCCTCAAACCGTGATTCTCCTGAACTCAGTCTCCCAAATAGCTAGAATTACAGGTGTGAACCACTGGTGCCTGATCAGGAGTCTAGATTTTCACAGAAAGAGTTTTATTTGCAGATTGATGAAGGGCTTTTTTTTTTTTTTTTCCGGTACTGAGGTTTGACAAGGCATTGTGCAATGTCTACCACATTAGCCAGTGGCTGGAGAGCTGTTTTTGCTTTAGTTCATTTTTCAGATACGGTCTTGCAGACCCATCTCAGACCACTATCTTCCTATGTCCATCTTCCGGGTAGCTGGGATTACAGACATGTACTAACACACCAGGCTTGGGTTTTGTTTTGTGGTATTGGGGCTCCAACTCAGGGCCTACACCTTGAGCCACTCCTCCAGTCCTTTTTTGTGAAGATTTTTCGAGTTAGGGTCTCATGAACTATTTGCCCAGGCTGGCTTTGAACCGTCATCCTCCTGATCTCTGCCTCCTGAGTAGCTAGGTTTACAGGTGTGAGTCTCCGGTGCCTGACCCAGGCTTGTTTTTTGAGATGGGGGTATGGAGAAGACCAGAGCTGACCTCAAGTCACGATCAAAGCCTCCAAAGTGGCTGGGATTACAAGCAACTACACCCAGCCTTGTGCTTCACTATTTGCAAAGGTTAGGGGTATTGCTTTTTGGAGTGTATTTTTTTTTCATAAGTCTCCTAAATTCCTAGGCAACAATGCTCAGATTGAAGACAGACAGATGAAAAGGGTGGTAAATAGGACCACCTAGAAAAAGGGAGGGGAGTACCCTGCTGTTGAGGATGAGAGCTTGCTGAGGGAGGTCTGGGGATCCAGAAATGGAAGCTGAAGGAGCTGTAGATTCACACAGGGCAGTGGAGTGCCAGCTCAGTGGCCATTGGTTCAGAGCCAAATGAACGATTCAAGAATTGCTCTGTTATTCACAATAGCCAAGTTATGGAATCAGCCAAGATGCCCCACTACTGACGAATGGATCAAGAAAATGTGGTATTTATACACAATGGAGTTCTACTCAGCCATGAAGAATGAAATGTTATCATAAATGGGTGGAACTGGAGAACATTCTGAGCGAGGTTAGCCAGGCTCGGAAGACAAAAAATTGTATGTTCTCCCTCATATGCGGACTTTAGATCTAGGACAAATACAGCAATGTGGTTGGACTTGGGTCACAAGACAAGGGGAGAGCGCACACAGGAGGAATGGGGATAGATAAGAAACCCAAAACATGATAGTATTTGATGTCTCCACTACAGAGGAACTAATACAGAAACCTTAAAGCGACAGAGGTCAATATGAGGAGGATCAGGAACCAGTGTAAAGATCAGTTAGAGATGAATCAACTTGGGATGTAACACATTTGTACATGGAAGCAATGCTAGGAATCTCTCTGTATAGCTATCCTTATCTCAACTAGCAAAAATGCTTTTGTCTTTCTTATTATTGCTTATACTTTCTCTTCAACAAAAGTAGAGATAAAGGCACCCCACCCTGGAAGCGAGGGGCGGTGGGGGAGAGAGGAAGGGGGCAGGGATGGGGGGGAGAAATGGCCCAAAGAACAAAAAAAAAAAATTGTTCTGCAAGATGACCCCACAGATTTGCACCAGGAACATGCCAAAATCAAGGATACAGAGTTCACAACAGTGAATGAGCCCAGATGGTGGGTGTGCACCATTCAGAACCGTTCCCCCCCACCATGGAGTGCTCAGGTCAGACCTCTCCCCCATCCCATTCCCACATCAAATTTCAAGTCAGGGTAACTTTATTCAGATACCTTCAATGTCACATCTTGCCCAGGACCTCTCAAAGCTGTGTTGCCCTCCTAGTGGCCTCTGCACACCATGCCTAGCCTTCCTCTCCCTGATGATCTTTTTGTTGAATATAATTCATCTTCTGTCCCAACCAAAGTCTCACCTCCTCCAGAAGCCTGTACTGCAGCACTTTTAACACCCACTTTCACTCACTACCTGGGACTGCTCTCAGCCTCCAAGGGCAACAGTCTTGATGCTCTCTTGGCACTCAGCAGGGTCTTTGGCACATACTGAAGGGTTACAGGGTTGGTCCATGACAACCCCATCCCCCAATCCAGGCCACCTCAGCAGCCACTCTTATCCTTCTGCCAGCTTCCTGGGCTAATTGGGCCTCACCCCATAGGCTACAAGCATAATGGTTTCCAGGTGTCCCAGGTGAGCCTTGCTGTTCTGTGTTCACTGCGGAGATGTAGAATGGCTCAGATCAAGCAAGGCCCTGAGTGGAAAAGCGCTGGTGAATGTCCATGTGAGCAACGGCTGGGAGCTCTCCAGCGAGCTGTCTCCTGTGCACAATCATCTTCCGCAGGCCTTTGTGTTCAACACTCCCCAACACCCAAGGGTCCTGGAACCCAACCTCCCAAGCAAGAGGGGTCATTCATTCCCACCACTTTCAGCCCAGGGCCAAGCCATCAGCCAAGGAATATTGGTTATCTCTGGGTCTCTTGCACCATATTATCTGTCTTTGCACCCAGAGACAGCATGTCACCATGGAGCTCAGGAAACACCATACCTCTCCCACCACTGGAACACTGACAGGAAGCTCAGCATCAACCTCAACACAAAATGCGAGTAAGCTGGGGGTGGGGTTGGGGAGGTCACTTACAACAGTAAAAATAAGGGGCCAGCAGAGTGGCTCAAGTGGTAGAACGCCTGCCTAGCAAGCATGAGGCCCTGAGTTCCAACCCCAATGCCACCAAAAGAATAAAGTAAAAATGGCAGGCCAGGCAAGCTGGTCCATGGCTGTAGTCTCAAGTAGGCAAGAGGCAGAGGCAGAATCCTGGTCCTGGGCAAAAAGACCCTATCTGAAAAATAAACTAAAGTAAAAAGAATGGGGGCATGGCTCAACTGGTAGAGCATTTGTTTATCAGTGTGAGGCTCTGAGTTCAATCCTCAGTACCATCAAATAAAAAGAAAAGTAAAAACAGGAGACTGGGCATCTGTAGTCCCAGCTACTGTGAAGTCTGAGGCAGAGGGTTCACTTGAGCCCAGGAGTGCAGCATAGTGAGACCCCTATTTTTTTTTTTTTTACTTTTAAAAAGGTAACACAGAAGCAATATGGAACTCCATTATTTATCATAAATTAGGTCACATTCTCCCCAAGGAGGAAAAGCAGTCAGGTGGCACTGAGGACATAGCCAGGTGGCCTGGGGCACAGTGTCACAGATATGGCTGGTCCTTGGATAGCTCCCACTTCCTCATAGGAGGAGCAGGTGTCACGGCTTCTTCTCAGTAGCTGTCACAGCTGAGCTGAAAGAAGGAAGACAGACTTCTGTTAGGACAAGGTCTCCAGAAAACAGTGCAGAAGGACCCGAAAGACGTCAGGAGGTGTCTCACCTCTCCTCCGGTCCACTCCCTTACCAAATTTCATGTCAGGTTAGTAACTTTATTCAGGCATCTTCAATGTTACACCTTCTATGGCACCTCTGGAAGCCCTCTGCGTTGCCCTCCTAGTGGCCTCTGCACATTGTGCCCAGCCTCCCTTTCCCTCCTGACCTTTTTGCTCAATCTGATTGGTCCTTTTGTTCAAACAATCCCTCTTATAGTATAAACGTGCCTGCTGGGACTGTCTGGTTGGAGAGCAGAGAGATGTTGCAGAACCCAAAGCCCTCTAATGAGGTCCCTCAGAGGGCCAGCTGATGCCGCCCAAACCCACATGGACCCCCAGTTAGCCTGCCCTAGCTTGCAGGCCCAGAACCTGGCCACGAGGAGCTAGGCTCCTTCTTCCCCACTTTAGTCCAGGGGTAGACAAGCACCCACCCACCCATTCTTGCTACCCCATAACAGGATGCTGGGTGACAGGTGTCCCTTGGTCTTCTTTCCTGAAGTACTGGGCTCTGCACAACTAGTACATGACAGGTACTGCATGCTGCACAGGGCTAGTGAGGCCCCGCCCATGCTAGTGGGCCTGAGTCACTGTGCAATTGCAAAATACATGTGCCTGTCGTTCCAGCTACCTGGGAGGCTGAGGCAAAAGAATCACTTGAGCCCAGAAGCTCTGGGCCAGCCTGAGCAACACAGTGAGACCTATCTCTTAAAAAAAGAAAAAAAAAAGGTTGGGGAGCGGGATGTGGCTCAAATAGTAAAGTACCTGCCTACCAAGGGAGAGGCTCTGAGTTCAACCTCCAGTACCACCAAAAAAATAGAAGAAAAATTTAAAAAAAGAGGGCTGGCAGAATGGCCCAAGTGATAGAACGCCTGTCTAGCAAGCAAGAGGTCCTGAGTTCAAACCCCAGTACCACCAAAAAAAAAAAAAGGAACAAAGATAAGAGACTACTTTTCAGTCCACCGTTGACTAAGGGGAGCCCCAAAGAGGCATCACACTAGCAAATCCAGGGCATTCACCCTCCCTCTCCCTGCCACTCTGAGCCCCTGGGGCCTCTGGCTGGGGAGGCTCAGACACACTATAAGCCAGAAAGGAACAGAGGCCAAGAGGGCAGGACTACGGAGGAGGCGGTGGGGGAGTGGGGAGACACAGAAGGCTGCCTCACTCTGTGATAGCCACACTCTGGCACTGGCCTCCAGAAAATCAGAAAGTGACAAGGACCATCACTGAGTCCTGCCTGGCCTCATCACCTGACAGATCTCACACTGCAAACCTACCACCTCCATTTCACCAATAAAGAAACTAAAGCCCTTGAAGGCTGAGGACCATACACTGGGTCGGCTTTAGGAGCCCACACACCACTCGGGCACTGGGCAAACAGATTTGAAATCCTGCTTTAGCTGCCTGCTAACTGTGTGACCCAGGCCAGTCACTTGGCTTCTATCTAACTGACAGAGTTATCAGGTGCCATGGACTCTGTGCTACCTGCTCTCTAAGCACTCACACACATTAATCAACTCTCTGAGGCGGAGACATAGTCAAAAGACATAATCATGAAGGGCGCCGGTGGCTCACGCCTGTAACCCCATTTACTCAGAGGCAGAGATCAGGAGGATCAAGGTTTGAAGTCAGCCCAGGTAAATAGTTTGAGAGACCCTATCTTGAAAAAACCCTTCGCAAAAAAAAGGCTGGGAGTGCTCAAGGTATGGCCCTGAGTTCAAACCCCAGTACCAAAAAAAAAAAAAAACAAACACGTTTACTCTACACTTAATTGCCTTTGATTTGAGATGCTAGAACTGGGCAACATCTCATTCTAAAAAACAGAATGGGTGTCCTGATAAATTAGGCACAGGAGGTTGGTTTTACAGATGGAAAGGGCTGAAGAAAGCAGAAACCAAGGACTGGAACACAAATCAAATGGTAGACCACCTGCCTAGCAATTGTGAGGTTCTGAGTTCAAAACCCAATACTACCAAAGGGGGAAAATAAAAGAAAGAAAAGAACGGAGAAGCCAAATAAAAATCAGACTGGTCATTTCATTTACTTTCCTTGCAAAGGCTGAAGCTGAGGGAAGTTCTTTATTGGACCAGACAAAACTGGCTTGCTCACCTGAATTCAAGGCTGGGCTGGTAGAGTGGCTCAAGTGGTAAGAGCGCCTGCCTATCAAGTGTGAGGCTCAGCTCAAACCCCAGTGCCACCAAAAAAAAAAAAAAAAAAAATCAGAAAAACAAAAAATAATATCTGAATTCTCCGAGGTCAGACAAACAACTCCGTGTCACTTGGTGGCACAGAACTTCTACAAAAGTAACTGTTTTGACTTTGTCTGCTGGGCCTAGTGCAGGAGCTCAGTCCACACCAATGGCTCCCTATAAACCATGGAATACTATTAGTGTCCCCATTTAATTAAGAGAAGGCGCCCAAAGCCAGGAACCAAACTGGGATTTTTCTTTCAACTTTTTTTGTTCAGGTGGGGTCTCATTATGTTACCAAGGCTGACCTTGAATTTCTGGGCTTAAGTGATCCTCCTGCCTCAGTCTCCAGAGTAGCTGGATTAAAGGCATGCAATATCCAGCCTGGCTTATCAAACTGGATTTTGAGGGGCCCAAGGTTTATAATTTTTTTTTAAGAATACAAAATTAGCTGGGGGCCAGTGGCTCACGCCTATAATCCTAGCTACTCAGGAGGCAGAGATCAGAAGGATTGAGATTTGAAGCCAGGTAGGGCTCAAGGTGAAGGCCCTGAGTTCAAGCCCCATTACTGCAAAAAAAAAAAAAAAAAAAAAAAAAATATAAGGGCTAGTGGACTAGTTCAGGTAGTAGAGTGCCTCCTACAAGCCCCGAGGCCCTGAGTTCCAGCCCCAGTACCGCCAAAAAAAAGAATACAAAATTATACCCAGGCGCTGGTGGCTCGCACCTGTAATCCTAGGTACTCAGGATCAGAGAGCAGGAGGATCTCGGGATGTAGCTCAGTGGCAGGAGTGCTTGTATAGCATGCAAGAGGTGAAGTTCAATTCTCAGCATTACTACCAAGAGAACAAAATTATGCTGGGCATGGTGCTCAGGCCTATAATCCCAGCATTTGGGAGGTAGGAGGATCACAAGTTGGAGGCCAGCCTGGGCTACATGGCAAGACTCTATCTCAAAAAAAAAAAAAAGAAAGTAATGTCTGGACTTTCTAGGACCCTTGAAGGGACCTTGGACTTCATCTGAGCACTAACTTCTCCTCTGGGCTAAGCAGGGTTAAATGAGCTCTGAGATGAAAAACCCCTGGCAGCAAAGTCCCTAATTCAGTCAATGGTTGATGGGTGATGAAGATGGAACCCAGGGCCACGCCCACATTAAGCAAGTGCTCTACCACTTAGCTACACTCCCAATTGGAAATGGGACTTTTTTTGTGGGGAGTGGGTTTGGGGTTTGAATTTAGGTCTTCACACTTGCAAAACAGGTGCTCTATGACTTGAGCCATCTCCAGTCCATTTTGCTCTGGTTATTTTTGGAGGTGGGGTCTCTCAAACTATTTGCCTGGGCTGGCCTTGAACCATGATCCTCTCAATCTTGGCCCCGAAGCAGCTAGAATTACAGGCGTGAGCCACCAGCACCCAACTCTTTTTTTTTTGAGACAGGGTCTCACTATGTAGCCCAGGATGCCCTCAAACACGGGATCCTCCTGCTGGGATTACAGGCATGCACCACCACACCTGGCTGATTGATATAATTGCTCTTGAAAAGCACCTTTCCTCCAGCAGGAGAGGAAGGACAAGCAGCAGGAGGGAACATTGTAGGGCTCCTGACAAACATCATTGGATGTCCTCACCTCTCTGCAGTTTTTCCTGACACCAGCACCTTCCGTGAGGACATGATGATCGAGGGGGGCACCATTTCCCGGCGGCCATCACGAGTACAGTAGTAATTGTTGGAGAGCTTGTGACTGGGGCCCACAGGGAGTTTGGGAGGAGGCTGAGTCCTGAGGAAAAAGAACATTGGCACTGAAGCAAACCAAGGGTCCCTCTCACTGTTCCAACTTATTTGCAAGACTTGGGGTCTGCAGCCTCAGAGATGGACTGCAGGCCACAGACCTAGAAGCAGGTAGCAAATACTACTCTGGATACAAAGTCAGACTGAGGAGGTCTGTCCCCCTCCATGTCTCAAATGTTGTAGGTATAAAAGGTACTTTGTGAAGCTTCCAGAGCAGGGGGAGCCTAGACATGTTCCCATCCCCAGTGCACAGATGAATTTGTCACCTGACCTCACCTCCACCTGTTCTCACCAGGTATTCAGGAAATTAGAAGGCCAGAGTGCTAGGCTGTGATCACCATTTATCCAGCAGCTAACAGTTCATAAACACTTGGGTAGCAGCCCCAGATTATGCCTCTTTTATCACCAAAGGTTGAGCTATGGAAAGCCAGAGTTTCCTGTTATGTCAGGAACATTTTGAGGAACCCTGCTGGGATCAAGGCTTATTACTCAAAGAACACCTTGCCCTTGGAGCCTGTCCAGATCTCTGTTTTTCCTGCCACCATGTGGTCTGACGCCAGAACTCCCTACAGCCAGAGCTGCTTTGGCTAAACCCTGGGTTGAATTTACCAGAAGCCTGATTCCCTAAAAGGAAATGCTGAATTCCAAGCAAAAGAGGAGCTTCCCAGTGACAAATAGGGAAAGAGTAGAAAAGGTGGGGGAAAAAAAAATCATTAAATAATATCTAGTTTTTATTTAGCCACATTGTTTTAAAAAAAAATTATCTGGTAACTTTGCCACAATTCAAGTTTTTTTCTAAACAACTGATAACGTCTTTTATTTTTATTTATTTGGGTGCAGTACTGGGGTATGAACTAAGGGCCTCGAGCTTGCCAGGCAGGTGCTCTACCATTCGAACCATGCTTCCAGCCCTTTTTGCTTTATTTTTCAAATAGGGTCTCACATTTATGTCTGAGCTGGCCTGGACCAGTATCCTCTTATTTACACTAGCTGTGATGACAGGCGACAGGCTCATGCCACCACACCCAGCCATTACTGGTTTAGGTAGGACCTCAAGAACTTTTTGCCTGGGCTGGCCTGGAACTGTGAGCCTTCTGATCTTCATCTCCCAAGTAGCTAGGATGATAGGCTTGAGGCACTAAGTCCCGCTGACAGCCATTGTATTTTAAAAATGAGAGATACAGCTAGGCATGGTGGTGCACACCTGTAGTCCCAGCACTTAGGAGGCTAAGGGAAGAGGATGGCAAGTTCAAAGGCAGCCTGGGCTACATAACAAGTTCCAGGCTAGCCTTAGCTACTTAGTGAGCCCCTCTATCTACAAACAAAAGACAGGGAGAGAGGCGGGAGAGAGGGGAGAGGAGAACGGAGGGGAAGAGGATAGAAAACTTGATATAAATAAGATTTTAAAATGACACATGGCCAGGCGCTGGTGGCTCATGTCTGTAATCCTAGCTACTCAAGAGGCAGAGATCAGGAGGATTGAGGTTTGAACCCAGCATGGGCAAATAGTTCAGTGAGACCCTATCTCGAAAAACCCTTCACAAAAATAGGACTGGTGGAGTGGCCTAAGTTGAAGGTCCTGAGTTCAATCCCCAGTACCTCAAAAAAAACCACGACCCACATGGGGGCTGGCGGAGTGGTAGAGTGCTTGCCAAGCAATCATGAGGCTCTGAGTTCAAACCCCTGTACCATCAAAAATAATAATTATAATAAAAGAAATAAATTTAAGTGACAGGTAATATATTATGTGGAAGTTGGAATTTGCCTAAGGAATATAGATATGACCCTCTATGTATCAGGCCATAGCTTTGAGCACCTATGTTCAGAATGGTGAAAAGAACCAGTTGCCCAATGCCAAGGCCCAAATGAAACACCACAGGGTGCCATTATCTTAAAGAAACTGAAAAATTGCCAGGTGGCTCACGCCTGTGATCCTAGCTACTCAGGAGGCAGAGATCAGGAGGATCCCGGTTTGAAGCCAGGTAGGGCAAATAATTCAAGAGACCATATCTTGAAAAAATCCTTCACAACAAAGGGTTGGTGGAGTGGCTCAAGCTGTAGACCCTGAGTTCAAAGCCCAGTGCCACAAAAAGAGACTGAAAAATCATTGCACAAAGTCATTTTCTTAACTGGCCCAGCAATTGCCCTGGTAGAAAAGAAATTCAATTCTTTGTAGTTGAAATTAATCACAATATACAGCATTCACATAAGTTTGGGTATTTCAGCACTATTTTTCTTCCTTTCTTGATAACCTTCAATGACTACCTTACCCCTGTGACTTCACATACCACTATTCCTTCCCTCACTGTGTTCCAGCCACACTGGCCTCCTTCTTACTTCAGGTTCTGTGCAGCCTCACAACCTCAGCACTTGCTGTCTCCTCTGCCTGCTATGCTTTTTCAATAGTTACTCTTTGACTTCTTCCCATGATCAAGTGACTCAAATGTCAATCCCAGAAAAGAGACCTTTCCAATCACCTGATCTCAGCCATGTTCCAGTTTACCCTCATTCACTTTGTCTTCAAAACATTGCAGAAAAAAAAGCCAGGTGTTGGTGTGTAATCCCAGCATACAGGAGGCTAAGACAAGAGGATCTGGAATTTGAGGCTACATAGGGACACCCCGTCTCAGGAGAAAAGTCTAAAACAGTGGTACTTGCTATGTTCGTTTCCCTACAATGTTTCTCTCTCCCAGGTGAGCTCCATGAAAGGAATGAGAATAAACGGCTGGTGGACTGGCTCAAGTGATAGCATGCCTGCCTAACAAGGGTAAGGCCCAGAGTTCAAATCCCAGTACCGCCAACACTAAACCTTTTAAATAAAAAAATGAAGAACTTTTCTTCAAGACTGAGGACATACCAAGGACTTGTAAATAATAAGTATGTAAATGCTTGAAATGAGGACACTTTAGGGTTCAACCCCTGCTGTCACTTTCTAGCTTTGAAATGACTGTAAAGGGATAGGGTGTGGTTCAAGTGGTTGAGTGCCTACCTACCTACCTACCAAGCGCGAGGGCCTGAGTTCAATCCCCAGTAACACCAAAAAGGAAAAAGAATGATGGTAAGCAAGATTTAGTTTCTTTGGGTCTCTTATTTTTTCATCAGTAGTTTGGGTATGAAACACTCAACTGGCAAGACCACACTTAAGACTGCAAATCTATTCCTAATTCCAACCCAGAATGCACGCCCAACCTAGCTGGTACACAGAGAGTCCAGCGAAGTTGAAGTCCGATTTCTACCTCCACAGCCTGGCAGGCGACTGGAGCAGGATCTCTGTCCAGTGCTCCAAGGGTCTAAAGGAACACACGTTGTTTTTGGTGAAGGAAAAACCCAATCGGGGCTGGGCAGCGAGCGGGGCCTGCTCACCGCTTGGCGATCTCCTGGTAGCGCAGCTGCAGCTTCGCCTGCAGGTCTTGCTGTGGGAGGAGGAGAGGGGAGGTCAGCCTGCGGGACACTGCAGGAGAGAAGGCGTGGGAACAGGGATGGCCGAGGATGAGCAGATGAAGGAAAGGCAGGGGACACACAGTCAGGATAGGAATATGGGCCCTGAGGGTGAAGAGGCAAGCTAGGGTCAGGAGATTCAGAGCTAAGGTAGGAAGCCGGAGGGCGGGGGGGAGGGCGGAAGGACGGGACAAGTGAATCAGGAACGGAGAGGTCACAATTGGAGAATCCCAGAGATTCTCCGGGCTAAGCGAGGGTCCGATTTAGGAGGGTGAAGAGTAACGGGAGCGGGTTCGGGGGGCACGGAGCCCACATCTTCCCCAACTTGGCCCTGCCCGCTCCTCGCACCCCTGATGCCCAGTTCCGAAGCCTCTGGATAATGCGAGTAGCGGACGCCATCTTCCGTCAATCCCGAAGGGCTTGACGTCTCTCCTGCGGGGATTGCTGGGAAGCGCACGTGTGGTATCGCGAGAGCACTAGTGGGCGTGGCTAGAGCGTCGTATAAATAGGTCTCGTCGAAACACGTGACTCCTCTCCGTCAGACCGCCGCCGAGCCGCCATCATGGACACGAGCCGTGTGCAGCCCATTAAGTTGGCCAGGGTGAGTTGGAGGACAGATTTTGAGCGCCGGGGAAGGAGGGAGAGGGTACAAAAGCCGAGTAGGCCAGGTCTGACTTTAGCTTCTTTCCTCCAGGTTACCAAAGTGTTGGGCAGGACCGGGTCCCAGGGTCAGTGCACGCAGGTGAGCGAGTGGGGGCGCCCCGATGACTTTCTGGGGTCTGAGCCCTGCTAAAGGCCTGTTTCGTGCCCCAAGCCCTGCCAGAGGCATCTGAAAACGGATGTTCTCTTTATCCACGGGCTTCCACCCCTCCCCAAGTCTCTGCCAGCTAGTCCGAACAGCTCATTCAGTTGAGCTCATATCTTCCCCATTAAGTATCTCGGATCCGGTCCCGACAGAGCCTCTGAATCCATATCGGCCCACCCCATATGGTGACTAACAGCCATCCGCCCTAACTACTTCCTGCCCTCCGGGTGGGCCGTAGGTTCGCGTGGAATTTATGGACGACACGAGCCGTTCTATCATCCGTAACGTGAAAGGCCCCGTGCGCGAGGGCGACGTGCTCACCCTGTTGGAGTCGGAGCGAGAGGCCCGGAGGTTGCGCTGAAACTTGCTCCTGGTGGGTACCGAGAGGTGGCTCCTGTTGGACCTTTGGCTAAGTGCGTGGGTGAGGGGATCTTGGGAGAACGAAAGCAGAGACTGGCTGAAAGGATTCTGCCAGTTGTTGGGGAACCTGTGCATCTCACGCTTGGGTTTGTTTACAGGGTCCTAGATACCGACCGCTTGGCCCACGGGATGACCTGCAACTCTTAAATAAAGCGTTTGTATTGTATGTAAACTTTGGAGGTTTTTTGTTTGTTTTGGGGGGGGCGGTTGGCCGTACTGGGGTTTGAACTCAGAGCCTCATACTTGTTAGGGTGGCAGGTGCTCTTACCACTTGGGCCATTCTACCAGCCCTTCTTTGTGATGAGTTTTTTCGAGACAGGGTCTCGAGAACTATTTGCCCAGGCTGGCTTCAAACAGTGAACCTCCCAAGAAGCCACAATTACAGGTTGTAAACTCTGGTTCTTCTTTGGGTTGTCTGGCTAGGATTTCTCTATGCCCTTTGCCTAAGTGGTTACCTACCTCTGCACTCTGGAAGCTTTAAGGGGTGTGTTCCCACTCCCGCTCTTCCCCAGACAAAACTCAAGCTTAGTAGAAGTTTTTTATTAGAAAAGAACTTTATAGGTTGGTGAGCCCGGGGGTTATGTGGCTCCTTGGGCCCATTTCACCTCAGTGGGTTCAAGGTGAGCTCCTTCCCTGACGCTGAACCATCTCAGCTGAAGTAGCGCTTTTCTGGAACTGCTTGAGCATCTGGACAGAGCACCCTGGCCCCTGCTCTGACCCAGAGGCTGAAGTGGGGAAAAAGAAGAATCTTGAGTCCAAGTCTGGTGTCCTCTCACTGAGGCTGAGAGTCCCCTGTATTGTCACTGCATCTTCCGTCACCAAGCAAGGCTGTGGGAAACTCTGGGGGTAAATGGCTCTAGAAAGAAGGGAAGAGGTCTTGTTGCAGTTTTCCTCTGGAAGTTAGGGGACTTTCACCACCTCAGCTTAAGGATGTGCCATCTGGCAGAGGCCCCTCTGGTTATTCAAGGAGAAGCCCTACCCTTTCCTGGTTTGGAAGAGGGACATGGCTTCCATTCCCACATCTCTACAGTGGGGTAAGTTTGGGGTGGACAGGTGGGTTAGATGAGTTTGGTGAAAGTACTGAGAACTGCCTGGCACTTGCCATCTGGTATGACCTCTACTCTTTGGGTGTGTTTTGTACCCAGACCTGGAGTTCTTGAGTTTGGGGAACCTGTATCTCTTCCCTCTCCCTGCCTACATCAAACGGTTTACTTTCCCTTTGATAGGATCCTGCTAGGGGCAAGTAGCAGGAGCTCCCCCAGCCTACTTTTCATGTGTGTGACCTTAACCAAGTTACTTCCTCTTTTAGGGCCTTAGTCTTATGAACTGGAGGTATATCTACTTCAAAAGAGGTTTTGCAGGTTAAACAACAATCCTAGCCATGTAGGAAAATTCAGACGGGTTCTCCCCGGAAGAGAGAGGTCTAAGCCTCTCTCCCCAAATGTGACTTGCAGCTGGGATGGTCTATTTCTTGGGGCCACACTCACCTGAGAGTCAGGTTCGCTCAAGCTCAGGTGGGCATGCAGCAGAGTGGCCACCTCATCCTGCTCGGCCTCCAGAGCAATGGCCAGTGCACTGGTGCCCTCCTAAGGAATGGCAGGATGTCAGTCCTTGAGCCACAGATGATGGGCACACAGGACCCTCTGCCTGCCTGCCCCACGTTAGTTGCTCACATTGTCCAGGATGGCAGGGTCGCAGCCTGGCTGGGCCAGCAACAATCGAACAGTATCCAGTCGCCCATACTCGCTGGCACACATCAGCGCTGTGGCCCCATCTGCATCCTGAGCATTCACGTCAGCCCCATTCTCCAGCAGAGCTGCCACCATGTCCTGGCGACCATGGCTTATGGCCAGCATGAGAGCTGTCTGTCCTGTCTGGGAAACAGGGAAGATGGGCTTGATTCCCCAAGTAGAAAATGACCCTCCTCAACTTAGCTGGAGTAGGAGTGTCCACAGACCTGGCTAGCCTTGGCATTGACATCACCCATGCTGAAGAGTCTCTGAACCACAGCCATGTCCTCCTCCTCCCGCCCCAGAGAGGCAAGTGCAGCCAACATAAGTGCAGAGTAGCCAGCTCGATTCTGATGGTTGACCTCACAGACCCCTGAGAGAGAAACGGACTGGTCACTCCAAGCCTTGGTATTATTTTGGGGGAAGGGGGAACAGGGTTTAAGCTCAGGGCTTTGGGCTTTCGAAGCACGTGCTCTACTGCTTGAGCCACACCTCCAGTCCATTTTGCTCTGGTTTTTTGGAGATGGGGTCTGACAAACTATTTGTCTCAGCTGGCCTCTGGAAAACCATAAGCCATGTAGCTGGGATTAAGTCATTGGTGCTGCCTTAAGGCCCATTTTTTAAGACTAACATGCTTCCTGTGCCCTCTGCTGCAGTGCTCCTCTCTTGCCTCAGGGTTTTGCTCAAATCTCACCTCAGCTAAGACTTCGCTGGCCCCTACTTCAGACTGGTCAGGCTGTTTCAGGACTTGGAACAATATACCTGGCACACAGTAGGTGCTTGATAAGCATCTGTTGGCTGAGAAGATTCCTCTTATTTCCACAGCTGCCACCTACCATTGTTGCTTCCGTAGAGAAATGTACCACCTGCCACCCTGATCTCCAAATATACCCCAGTTTCCATACAGCAGCCAGAAGCAGCCCAGTCACCTGCCTATTTAAACCCCTGTTATCCTCCCCAGTTCTCCCAGAATATAGACCATTACCTACAAGGCTGTGTTATTCAGCTTTGTATTACCATTCTTCTGGAATCCTCAGCTACTCCACAGCCCATGTGTGGGTTGAACCATAAAGAGGGCTGGGGACATGGCTGAAGTGGTAGAGGGCTGGTCTAGCAAGTGTGAAGCCCTGAGTTCAAATACCAGTACTGCCCCCCCACCTAAAAAAAAGGTTAAGTTGAAATCCTATCCCTCTGTACCTGTGAGTTTGCAAGAAGAGACTGAGTCAAGCAGAATGTCATGTAATGATGGAGACAGAGACAGTTAAGCTGTCAACTACCTGAGGCTAGGAGAAAGCAAATTCTCCTGTGAGCCCCCAAAAAGGAACTGACCAAGCTGTCACCTGATTCCCACTTCTGGCCTCCTGAAGTGAAAGGAAATACTCTGTTAAGCTGTTCACATGGTGATACTTTTTATGACTATTCTAGGCAACATCCTGGTTCAACCTCCAGAATTTAACGTAGTTTCTTGGGGGCTCGTTCTAATACCATCCCACTCTTCCCACACCTATCTCTGTTGGGACCACATTCACTGCTGTGGCTGTTTTAAGCTCCATGACAGTAGAGATGGTTTGGGAGATGAGTGGGTAGAAGAAGCATATAGTGTCAGGAAGAGGGTTCCTGGGAAAAGTGACATTATGGTAAGGGCACAGTATTGATGTCAAGGTCTGGTAGTGACTTGGTAAGGCTGATGTGGAGCAGAGGTCAAAGAACTGAGAAACCCAGAGGTTGGAAGGACCATCTAGGACAGTAAAATTGGTAAGTGGGGCCAATGGTCAGCCTGTGACCCACCATCCCCTCGCTCAGTCTCTTACACAAAGGAGCTGTCTATGGGTGGTGCACCCCACCCAGGGCTGTACTGGTACCCAGTAGACTCAAATAAATGTCTGTACTCAGCCACTTTGGGTGTGTCCATCTGCTTCAGAGGAAGATGAAGCAAGAGCAAGCAGGAGGCAGGTAAGTGAGGGACAGCACCCCAGCCTGGGGGACCAGCAGTCAGAGCCCTAACCAGTGAGTTTCTGCTCTAGAGGCTGGAATTGGGGCTTAGGAATTCAGGGAGCACCAGGGCTGGAAATTCAAGGACAGGGCTTTGCAGCAATTAACTGACCTAATACGTGTTATCACAACTGCTGGGGGAAGGGAGGCGTTGCCATCCCCATTTCACAGAAAAATAAGCTAAAACTGGTGAGATTGAGTAATGCATTAAATCTCAAACCTGGGTATTCTCTTCCCCTGCAAACAGTGGAGTCAGGGCAGAGATCCGGGAGTGTGGTGGAGTCAATTTTAGGAAGAATCTTGAGGAAAGCGTAGTGGCTGGCACCGTCTGTCGGCAAGCCCTTTTATGCGTTTTTTTCCCCCATAGTTCCACAGCCTGGGTGCTCCCTGGACCTCCCCTTGAGGGTCCCCCATTCCTTGGTCTCCCATCCACCATTCCTTGGCTCTGACCCGTATCCAGCAGCAGGTTTGAGATAGCCAAGTTCCCATGGGATACACTGTAGTGCAGGGCCGTGTTCCCATTGCCATCGGCCAGGTTGACCACGTACGCCAGCAGCTCAGTTCCCATGCGTGTCACACCTCGCAGCACCCCAGCCACGGACTCAGCCTGAGAGCGCCGCTGACTGGACACTCGAAACCATTCCTGGCCCACAAGACGCGCTGCGCTCTGCCGGGATAGGGGCAAAGAAGGTGTCACGATGGTCCAAGGCAAGGTGGCAGAGGGAAGCTGTGGAGGCGGCGCGGGGAAGACCCCTTTGGTGATCCCGGCAGGGTGGAAGTCTCCTGATGGTCAGAGTAGGGAGACCATAGGAACTCAAGTAGAGGGCTGAGGCCACACCTCTTTTGGAGAGTTCCCAAGTTCTACCCTTCCGGGAAAAATCTGAGGGAGAACTTGGAGGGGAGATAGTGAGCGTTTGCTCTTGGGAGTCCAGGAGTGGGGCTGGTACTTGCATCCGTGCTTTGGGAGAACCAAGGAAAACAGCGCTGTGCTAGGGCGGAGATTCCTTTGGAAAATCTGAGCTCAGCGGAGGCCCCAGGCGAGAGGGGACCAAACTTGGAATTCGCGCTCCAGAAAACCGAACGCACTTCCCTAAGAGAGAGTGAGGGGAGGTCCCTCATGGGACCTCAGCGCCCCCACTGGCAAGGGCTCTCGCAGCACTCACGCCGTCGCGGGTGACTCCTCGGGGCCGGCTCAGCTGCCGGTGCAGCGCAATACACGCCTCTCTCAAGCGCGGACTCAGCTCGCACCTGCGGAAGGAGGCCCAGCGAGGTTCAGGAAGGATTCGGGGACAGCGGCAACCAGGAGTGCAACCGCCCCCACTCCAGACTTCTGGCGACGCTTACCTCCCCTGTGTGGCCGGTTGAGGTTCTGACTCCGCCTCAGGCTTGGGATCTCGGGTGTCCTCATCGTTGGGAAGCCCAGGGGTGCTGGAGTCGGATCTCCCGCTGCAGTCGTCCCCAGAGCCGGAAGAGCTACTCTGGGCTTCGGCGGCGCCGTCGTCGCTGTTGCTGTCGCTGGCATCCTCGCTGGACGAGCTCTCATACCTGGAGGAAGGTGGGAGGCATCTGCTAAGCCGCCCCTGTGGGCTCGTTCCGGGAGTGCTGCGAGGTGGGAAAGGCTATCCCCATTTTATTTATTTACTTAATTTTTCAGTACTGGAGTTTGAACTCAGGGCCTACACCTCGAGCCCTCCACCAGCCCTTTTGTGTAATGAGTTTTTTTGAGATAGGGTCTCGTGAAATATTGCCCAAGCTGGCTTCGAATCTCGATCCTCCTGATCGAGTAGCTAGGATTACAGGCGTGAGCCACCAGCGCCCGGCTGTCCCCATTTTATAGATGAGAAAAATGAGGATTGCCAAGACCACGCTGCAAGCAGAGGAACAGAACTGGAATTCACACCCCGTCTAGTTCCCCAAAGCTGCTGCCATGGAAAAAGGGGAAAAGCTCACTCTCCGTTGAGGACCCCAACAAACTGCAGGCTCTTGGGTCCCGGGCTAGGCTGGGCACCAGGTGTACCATCTTTCTTCTTCATAATGGACTTGAGGATGCCTGGCAGGGATCAGATGAGGGTGCTGAGTTTTGAGTAAGACAGCTGGCAGACCAGGACTCAGCTAGTGGTTGAAACTCACCCGCAGGGGCCATGGCCTGGTCTCCAGCGGTGGGTACAGATGGGGTCTCCAGAGTAAGGAAGGAGGTCTCTGCTGGGGGGTCGGTCTGCGTAGTCTTCTCCGCACAAACCCACGGAGTCTGGGTGGCGGCCTCGCATGATGGGGACCTGGCCGCCGTCGCTTTATTCTCCGCAGCCTCGAGGGCCTCCTCCAACTCCTGCAATCGGCTCCGCAGGAGTTCGCTCACCCCTCGCTGGTGTTCCAGGCTGGCGCGCAGCAGCTCCAGCTCGCGCTCTGCGGCCTCGGGCAGCCCCAGCAGCGCCTCGGTCACCCACGCGTCCGCCTCAACGGTCTTGGGGACCACTTCCACGCTGGCCTCCCGGATCTCCGGCACTGCCTGGGTACCCTCCTCTCGGGTCTCGGGCACAGCATCGTTGCCCATCTCCTGGGTCTGAGGCGCCCCATCAAGGGTCGCAGCCGCCCCGTCTAGGATTTGTATCGCGCCCTCGCTGCGCCTTGCAGCCAAGCCGTCGGGGCCATCAGCCCGAAGGCTGGCCCTAGAGCGGACGCCTCGCTCGGAGGTGGCCAGGCGTTCAGTGAGCCGCCGCAGCTGGGCGAGCTTGTCCGGGCGCAGCTCAGCTTCCCCGTCTGGCTCTGGTTGCGCGCGCCCAGCCAGTAGCTGCGCCTTCTCTGCGCGCAGCGCGCGCACCTGCTCTTGCAGCTCGGGCAACGCGCGCGCCTGATCCTCGAGCTCGCGCAAGCGCCGCAGCGCCAAGGCCATCTGCTCGCGCACCAGCTGCAGTTGCGCAGGGCCAGGAGAGGCAAGGGCGGGGTTGGGGGCGGGGCTGGGGGTAGGACTACTGCGGCCAGACCCGCGCGGACTGCGCCGAGCCGCGCGGGAAGGGCTGAGCGCGAGCTCGCACGCCTGTTCCTGTGCCTGCTCCAGTCGCCGGCTGGTCTCCCGGAGAGTGTGCTCAACCCGAGGGTTACACACGAGTGAGCGCGGCGACAGCGGCGGCAACGAGAGACCCGGAGACGCTCGGGGAGAGAGTGCGCCCAACGCTCCTCCATCGTCACTGGCCAGGGACTCGCTGGATGTCCAGGCGCCTGGGCTCCGCACGCCCGGCAGGCCCGGCCGCAGCGTGCGGGGACGGCGCGCAGACGAGGGTCCTGGGGCTCGGCGGGAGGCAGGGCCGCGCTCCAGCTCCTCCACGTACTTGAGGAAGTCCAGGTCCAAGTGGAAGCCGTAGGGCGTCTCCACAGTGTAGGGCGAGCTCGGGCTGCGGGCGCTCCCCGTGGGGCCCGCGCACAGGCGAGGGCCGCCCAGGTCTGCAGTCATGACAGGGGCGTGAGGGGCGGTCAGACCAGAGAGTTCCCAGAGAGAAGGACAAAAATAGGCGGCCCCCACGACGCACATGCACGGCTGTCATTACACAACCCCTCTCCCCGCCAGGCTCTCACACCTACCTGCACCCAAATAGGCACGCAGTCATGCGTTTATCGAGCGCCTACTGGGAGCCAAGCACTTTTCTAGACCCTGGGATACAGCAGTGAACAAGACAATATCCGTGCTTTTTTGAAGAGGACAGATAAACACAATCATTCCAACTAAGGAATAATAGCACGGTGAACTAGAGAATGGCTGGAGGAGTGCAAGTTTGGCTGTGGTGTCAGGGAACATTTCCTGTGAATGGGGACTTAAAAGTTGAGCACTACATGATGAGGAAGCAGCTGCAAGGACAGAAGGTTCCAAGAATAAAAAAAAGAAAAAAAAAAAAAAAGCCCATACAAGACACTGGGGGTAGGGGCTGGCAGGGGCAGCAAGAGTAACTTGGGGTGGAGGCCAGTTCCCAGCAGAGTGAAGAAAGGAGAAGAGCTAGAGAGATAAGCAGAGGCCACACTGCGGCCTCGAGGGCCACCACGGGGAGTTAGGATGTTAGCCTACTTGCAGTAGGGTGCCATGGCTGGTTTTACACAGGGCCATGACATTGATCAATGGACCATTGAAAAGGTCTCTAACTGTGTTAAAGAATAAACCTCTGGGCTGCAACACAGGCACCAACTGTGGATCTGTGCACACACATATAACCCATTTCACACACTCACCAGGCAGATTCTGATTCAGGGCAAACTTGGCCATGTTTCTTGGAATAGCTTCCAGATGCACCCTGAAAAAAGACCCCAGAAAAGTGAGGGTGGGACCCCAGCCCTGTCCCTCTGAATCTCTGAGGCCCAACTTTGGGTCTGTGAGCAAATTAGACCCAAGAGCCTTTCTCCAACCGGCCCATCCTCCACCCCCGCCCCACAAACACACACTCAGGCTCTCTCCTTCCTCCTCCTTGCACAGATCTTGAAACTTTGGATTGAATGAATGTAGGGAACCTGGTCTGGGCTTGGGCAGAAGGAAGCCAGAAAGGCTTCAAACAGCCAGGGCCTGTGGCTGTGGCTCGTGCCTGTAATTCTAGCTTCTCAGGAAGCAGAGATCAGGAGTCTTGAGGTTCCAAGCCAGCCCAGGCAAATAGTTGTTGAGACCCTATCTTGAAAATACCCAACACACAAAAGTAAAAAGGATTATCGGAGTGACTCAAGTAGAGTGCCTGCCTAGCAAGAGTGAGGCCCTGAGTTCAATTCCCAGTACCACCAGAAAAACTAACAAACAAAAACAAAGTGGTATTTCTTAAAGCTTTTTTCTTAGAGAAATGCAAACACAATATAATTGTTCATCTGAAAATCCCTAGAATGTTTACCAAAATCTAGGAATTATGGAGAGTTTTGGACTGGCTATACTAAGTATGCAGTTAATGAATACATGTGTCTCTGGATTGTCTCTAGTAGAATGCCACAGGGCACTGTCCTTGGCTTGTAAGGGCTGGAAACACACGCTCTTTGGCCCAGGTGGCCAAAGCTGTGGTTATCCATGAGGAATGAGGGGAGGGTGACTCTTCAAGTGACAAAATGAAGACTCTAAGAAAGTGTGGGATTTTTGCTTGCTTTGCAAGCACAAGCCCTGAGTTCACACTTCAGTCCCACCAAAAGAAAAAAAAAAAATTGAGGCCAGGACTGGAGGTGTGGCTCAAGTAGTAAGAGACCCTGAGTTCAATCCCCAGTACCACCGAAAAAAAAAAAATCCAGAACTTTGGTTCAAAAAACACAGAATTAAAAAAAAAACAAAAAACTAACCAGAATGGGGGCTGGAGGTGTAGCTCAGTGCCTAGCATCATACATGAGGACCTGGATCCATCCCTGGGTGGGGGGGAAGCATAGGAAAGGAAAGATGGTGCTTTGTAGAACCCACATAGAAAACCCTAAAGAGTAGAAGAGCTGGGCACTCCTAACTACTCAGGAGGCAGAGTTCAGGAGGATAGCGGTTCCAAGCCACCTCAGGCAAATAGTTCATGAGACTCTACCTCAAAAATACCCAACACACACAAAAAAACCAGGGTTGGTAGAGTGGCTCAAGTGGTAGAATGCCTACCTAGCAAGCATGAGGCCCTGAGTTCAAACCCCAATTTTGCCAAAAAAAAAAAGAGCAGATGGAAGCAGTTTGTATCGAGTGCCTTCTGTATGCCCTGCCTGGTTAAATGTAATCCCCATGCAATTCTGCAAGGTAGATATCATTGACATTTTTACAGAGGTGGAAATCTGAGATGGAGCAATTAAGTTCATTGCCTGTGAGAAAGCCCCTCAGATTTCATTCTACCTACCTTCTGGGAACCTCTAGCCAGCAGTGCTCAGCCACCATTCTCACTACACCTTTGCCTGCCCAGCCCTCTGCCTGCCAGAACCAATTCTTCCACTCCCTGGCTGGCTGCCCATCTCGTCTAAACACCTGGTAACCCTCCCAGCCTCTTGCATTCCTGATGGCCACTTGCGTGCCTGACACCACCAGCCATTCAGCATTTATCAGCCTTCTTAATGCATCACCCTCTCCACTGCAGGGGGGACCCCCTTCCACTCCCCACCTGAGTCCCTGATACCTCCCTCTCCACCCCAAGGCCAGCCAGGGCCTCTTCCAGTTCCCAAGCAGCTGTTTCCTGTCCCCTCGCACCAGTTGTGAGGAGTTGGCCAGTAGGGCAGGGGTCATCACGGAGGACAGCCAGTACCTCTCATGACTTGTTTTCAGGAAATTACCAGGGAAGAACTGGGTTTTGGAAAAAGCCTGAACTAGGGCTCAGGGTTCTGGACCTGCCTTTCAAACAGCGAGTTCATGACTCAGTGCGGTCATCCCCCTGTTGTGGTGACCTGGTCACACCCAGATTGGAGGCTCTGGGATGAAGAAAACAGCTGTGGGACATCCCTAAGACCTAAACCAGCGGAAGCAGCTGGACCTGGACCCAAAAGCCGGGAAATGGGTGGATGGGGCCAGGGATGGTAAATAACAGTAATAGCTCTTTTGCTTTTTATTATGGATTAGTTTCTATCCAAAGTAATTTATGTACATTGTTTTAAAATTCTCTCTAAATCCTCTAAAGTTTGTTCTCCTGTTATCATTGTCCCATCCCCCATTGTGCAGACAGAGAAACTGAGTCAGAGAACAAAGTCACACATGGACAGAAGCAGGATTTGAACCCGTGTAGCTTAGATTCCTGCATTGGCCACTACCCTTGACTGCCTTTTAGAAAGATCCTTTTCCCTTCCCTTCACCTCCCCAGGATGGGCAAGGAGCCTAGGCAGTGTGGCCTTCCTAGCCTGCACCTGTCAGTCCCTACCTGGGTCCCTGGTTGGGTTTGGGACGGATGGAGAGAGTGTGGAGGGGCAAGCCCACACCTGTGCTGCAGCCTCACTGCGTGGGGGCGTGTTGCTGTCCTCTTCTCTCCTCTGCTCCCTGTCTTGGCTGTCACAGCTAGATCCGGATCCTCTGCCTGAGATCCCCTCATTAGGCCGTCAGAGCCGATGCCACACGCCCCCACTCCCACCCCTGGGACTATTTCGGGACGCGGAGCTGTGATCCTGGAACCCGAGAGGTAGGGGACATGGCAGGCAATAGGCATCCGGGCCCTGGGGAAGGAACGCCTGCCTGGCCTGAGACCCTGGGTGGTGCCACCTCCTAATGTTGGGGCGGGACTCTCAGACTCATGACGTTGGGGTGGAGGCAGATGACAGCGGGAGAGGGGGATACCTCCCCCCCTCCCACCAAACACACCATCAGGTCAGATTCGCAAAGACAGGGAAGTTTCCTACAGGAAACGCCGCCGGGCGGTCCCATCCGCTGCCTATTGTGTGCAGGTCCGGGGGCTATCTGTCCCTCCCCCCAACACCGTTTCCGAATCTCTCCCCCAAACTCCCCGCACCCAGCCCAGCGCGAGAGGGCTGGGCCCGTGTCCCCAAGCCATCCGGGAGCTAGCGACTCTGGGGAAGGGTCCCCTGGGATGCCAGGGGGCGATCAAGCACGCCGACCGGTGTCGTCCTGGAGAACGACAGTGAAGCAATCTCCGAAATCCACAGCCCTCCTCCCCACTCGACTCGTTACCCACCTGGAGCTGTCAGTGTCCTGGTCTCAGGACGCAGCGCCCACCCCGTCGCAGCGCGCCGAGCCCGCAGAGGGACTGCATACCACAACGCCCCGCCCGTCCCGGTACGTCCCTTGATCCCCTCCAGGACACGCACCAGAGTCCCTTCAAGCTGGCGTTTCACCGGCAGCGACAGCCCTGGCCGCGCCAGTACCCGAGCCCGCCCCCTCGAAGCTCGGGGACCGATTATCAAGGCTTTGATCCTAACTGACGGCCACAGCAGCCAACCAGCGCCCGGTGTTCTCCGAGCTGCCCAATGGTGAAGCGAAGTGGGTCATATGGGCGGGGCTGGGAATGTGGGCGTGACTGGGGGCGTGGCGTGCAGTGAAGGTCTCCGAGGGCAGGCGACAAGCGGGAAGGGGACAGAATTTGTGACCTGGAGGCGGCCAAGTCCTGTTCAGCCCAGGATTAAGGAGTTTGCATTTAATTCACAAGGCACAAGGGATTCACAGGAGGGCTGTGAGCAGAATATTCCGTTGGGATTTATGTGACAAGAACTTAATTCCCAGTGCCTGCATGAGGTACCTGACCTTGGATCTTCCCTACCACAGGGTCTTTGCATATGCTGGGCCGCCATCCTTAAACATTCTTCCTGCGCATGTTCACGTGTCCACCTTCCCCTACTTGGGGGGCGATGTTCAACCTATATGTTCCTATCCCTTAAAGGCATAAGGTGGCCCATTCCAGGACTATCTTTCCTATCATTCTGTTTAACTTATTAGCAAATTTCACTACATGAAAAACGGACTGCTTTTTTTCCCATCTGTCTCCCCCACTAAAGTGTCAACATTATAGGGATGGGAAAATAATTGATTTTGGTCACTGCTTTAGACAATGCCCCTGGCATACAGTAGATGCTTATTGATTGGGGTTTTTGTTTTTGTTTTGATGATTTAAAATTATATTTACCTCTTTAACCCACTTGGGGTATATTATGAGCTAAAGTGACTATAGATTTCCCCTATTAATTTAGTATGTATTGAGTCCCCAGCACCGTGAGTCCCTGAGGGGTTACAAGCGCTGCCATCCTGGGCCTTTCAAACTAAGGTTTGTGTTAAGGTTTTGTTAAGCGGTGGCAAGTGGGTAGTCCGTGGGAGGAAAAAGGAAGGTTCTGGAAGGCAGCCTACAGGGGTAGGCTGGGGAAACTATAGGTACAAAGGAAAAGAAGTATGAAACTCCTTTTATTATTTTTTTTTTATTATGGGGTTTGAACTCAGTACTTCCTACTTGCATTAGTTTTTTTTTTTTTTTTTAGATAGGATTTTGCTTATTGCCTGGGGCTCGACTAAAACTGCAATCCTCCAGCTCTCTGCCTCCCAAGTAGCTAGGATTATAGGCATGAGCCACTGCTTCTGGCTATATGGGAACCTTTGACTCATTCCATGTATTGGTAGTAGGTGAGCTGAATAGAGGAGGTTTAAAACAGCTCAGACTTCCATTCATTTTTCTTTCTTTCTCTCTCTTTTTTTTTTTTTTTTTTTGGTAGGACTGTGATTGAACTCAAGGCTTCACACTTGGAAAGCAGGCACTCTACTGCTTGAGCCAGACCTCCAGTCCATTTTGCTTTGGTTGTTTGAGAGATGGGGTCTCAAGAACTATTTGCCTGGGCTGGCCTGACATCCTTCTGATCTCAGCCTCCCAAGTATAGGATATTATAGCTGTGAGCCAACCTGTGCCACCCAGCTCCTTTACTTTTCCTTCTTTCTTTCTTTCTTTTCTTTCTTTCTTTCTTTCTTTCTTTCTTTCTTTCTTTCTTTCTTTCTTTCTTTCTTTCTTTCTCTTTCTTTCTTTCCTTCCTTCCTTCCTATTTCTTTTCTTCCTTTCTTCTTTCTTCCTTCCTGCCTTTATTTATTTCTTTTCTTTTTTTGAGTCAGGGTTTCACCATGTAGCCCTAGCCTGGAAGTCAGTATCTTCCTGTCCCATCCTCCCAAGTGCTGGGATTATAGGTATGTACCACGATGCCTGCTACTCAGCTCAGAATTTATCTAGTAAATTAAGGTCCATTAGGAGGAAGTCTTTTATATTTCTAAGATCCTTCTGTCTGTCCCAATTCATCTCTATTTTAACTACAGCTACCAAAATAAAACTACAGTAATATATTGCACCTTGTATAATGTAATTAATATATTAAAATTCTCCTCCTCTTTTCAGAAAACTCCTGGTCTATTTTCATTGGTTGATGAAGTGTAGAAATTCTGTTGAGAGAGAGAGAGAAAGAGAGAGAAAGCCAGGTACACCAAGATCAACAGGTAGTACTTTTGCTGCTGCTGCAGAAGGCCCTCTATGGGCCACATCCCAATCACAACAGCCCCTTCTCCCCAGGGTGACCAATGGTGTGACTAGTTTTTGTTTGTTCTATTTTGTTCCCCCTGCCCCCGTACTGGGGTTCGAACTCAGGGCTTCATGCTCGCTAGGCAGGTTCTCTACCACTGAGTCATGCCCTCAGCTCCTAAACCCTTTCATTCTCAGATCCCCCTCCAGCCCTTTCTTTCCTTACAATAAATCCATTGCACAACTCTGGCTGCTTGTTACGAAGCATTTCCCAGGGCCTACCGCCTGCCATTCTCATCTCCATAGTGCAGCTATGTCACTGATCACTCATTCTCCATCTTCCCAGCACAGTGGCATTGTTTCTAGAACTGGGATGAGACTTCACTTCAACTGCATTGGCACACTTACTGGTGTTACTGTGGTTTTGCAGAGGAGACTTGGGATGTTTGGCTGTTTTTCCTTCCTTTTTTTGAATTGATTTTTGTATGAGGTGAGAAGCAGGGGGTTAGTGTGTCTTCTACATGTAGTATACACTTTTCCCAGCACCCTTTGTTAAAGAAGCTGTCTTTTCTCCAGTATTTGCTTTTGGCTCCTTTGTCAAGGATCAGAGTGCTGTAGCTGTGTGGATTTATTTTGGTGTCTTCTATTCTATTCCATTAGTCTTTGTTTAGTTTCTGTGCCAGTACCATGCTGCTTTTGTTACTATGGCTTTGTAGTATAATTTGACATTAGGTATTGTGATACCTTCAGTGTTGCTTTTTTTTTGTTTGTTTTAGTACTGGGGTTTAAACTCAGGGCCTACACCTTGAGCCTCTCCACCAGCCCTTTTTTTGTGAAGGGTGTTTTCAAGATAGGGTCTCCAGAACTATTTGCCCAGGGCTAGCTTTGAAACTTGATCCTCCTGATCTCTGCTCCTGAGTAGCTAGGATTACAGGTGTGAGCCACCGGTGCTCAGCCAGCACCCAGAAGATGGGAAGCCTTTCCTTTTTCTTTCCTTCCTTTCTTTCTTGATTTTATTTGTAATTCTACTTATGTGCTATATTACATTCATTGACTTGCGTGTGATGAACCATCCTTGCATCCCTTGTACAGAATGAACTTGATCATGATATATGACTTTTTTGATGTGTTGTTGAATCTAGTTTGCAGCTATGTTTTTCTTTCTTTCCTACCTCCCTCCTTTCCTTTTCTTTCTTTCTTTCAGTACTGAGGTTTGAACTCACAGCATTTGTTTTTGAGACACGGTCTACTTATGTAGCCTGGACTGGCCTCAAACTCAAGATCCTGTTGCCTCCACTTCCTGAGTGCTGGGATTATAGGTGTGCTCACCAGCACACCTGACTTTTGTATTTTTTCCTCATTTGTCAGCAAGACATCTTCCTTTGCAGGTGTTTCCCCTTATGCATTATTCAGTTAACTGTAGTACCTTCATGGTGGAAAGGCAAGAGCTTGATTCTTTCCCTTTATACATCCACTTTCAAAACACACAACCTCCCCCTATTCACCATGAAGTTAATTTCCATGGCTTTACTTAACTGTAATCAACCGCAGTCTGAAAATATTAAATGGTGTTTAGCAAATAATAACCAAAAAAGAAAAAAAGTCTAGCTGGACACAGGTGGCTCACACCTGCAATCCTAGCTACTTGAGAGACTGAGATTGGGAGGATGGCTATTTGAGGCCAGTCTGGGCAAAAAGTTTCCAAGACCCCATCTGCAAACAAATCAGGGCAAAATGGACTGATTAGAGGTGTGGCTCAAGTGGTAGAGAGCCCTTGCTTTGCAAGTGCAAAGCCCTGAGTTCAAACCCCAGTCCTATAAAAAAAATCTGTACATGTTCAATATGGATGCGGTGTTTCTCCAAATATTTTAGATGTGTCATTGGTTGAATCTGCAGATATGGAACCAACACACACGGAGGGCTGACGACAAATCCCACTTTGTGAGTTCATTCTGATATTTCCAATTCAAGTTCAGGCCTATGTGATTTTTTTTTCCCCTTAACCTCTTTGTGGTGGTAGAAAACACCTCCCCAGAGATGTTCATATCCTAATCTCTGGAAATCATAAATGTGTCCCCTTGCAGGGAAAAGGGGACTTGCAGATGTGGCTAAGTTAAGGACCTCGACAGGAAGATTATCCGGATTATCTGGGGGGGGGGTAAGATCATCACAAGAGTCCTTATATGAGGCAGAGAGGAGGGTCCAGGTCAGGAAAAAGATGTGACAAAGGAAGCAGAGGACAGAATGGTTCAATTGCCACAAACCAATGAATGCAGTGGTTTCCAGGAGCTGGAAACCGCCCCACCCCCACCCAGTGCCTCCCAAAGGCTCCCATGACACTTGAATTTATCCCAGGGAGACCCATTTCCATACTGCTGACCTCCATAACCGGGAGATAATCCATGTGTGATGTTTGATTTATTATTATTACTTATTCATTATTATTATTACTATTTTGCAGTACTGGGGTTTGAACTC